TTAGTGTGAAATGGCAGTTTGCACTATAATAATAATTCTGGGGTAGCTGAGATGATTTTTGAGTGTTCTAGGGTCTGCTTTGGTAATAGTCATAGAACATACTTGTATTGCAACTGCTGTATGTAAAACTCATACAACAATCTGTAGAGCATTGTTTTATACTATATAAATACAATTATTCGATATCATCATCAACATCTCAGATATAAATGATTTGCGCCGCAAGTTCAGTGAAACAACAGCCACAAAGAGATCCAGTGGATTCCAAGCCATGTAGGAATCGAAGGGAATGAGGCAGCAGACCAAGCTGTCAATGAAGCCATGGATAATGAAGGAGGCAGACGACCAATAACGTACTTTCCAATGAACAAGGGGAGAATCAGAGACCTACCATGCAGAGCAGAATGTGGATTCTGGGTATTCCAATAAGCAGGAACAATTAATAAAATGTCGTTAGGATCAGGTTGAGCTTTCGAGACTGCAGTCGGACCATCATTGGAGCATGGGGTAAATGAAGACCTCAAACCACGCTGCCGAAGAGGCAACCAGGAAAAAGGAATGCCAAACATGTGTTTGAATGTCCAGGAACAATGGCAACTCGAATGGAGTTATTTGGACGAATGGAGTTATTATATGGACGAGTGGAGGTGCCTTTGAGTATAATGACAATGGAGCCGAAAAAGAGCCTCACTCTCGCTCCAAGATTTCTTCGTCGAGTCCACCAGACCAATTAAGGGAACAAATAAAGTCATCATCATCATCATCATCATCATCATCATCATCATCATCATCATCATCATCACTGTTTCGAAATGACAATAAAACAAGACTTTTGTAGTTTAGTTCAATTGGGATTTTGAAATTATTTTTTACTTTTCGTGAGTGTAGGAAAATAATCCAGAAAAAAAGAAAGTGAGAAAACAAGAAGAGAATTCACGGAGCTACATCTCTATGGTGCGCGATCCTGTATAAGTATTATGAATTGCATGCGAAAATGCTTCTCATGTTGTGAAACTCAAAACTTTTTTTCGCCAAATAGCTCTGAGCTAAGAACTGGGGTGATAGAACTTTGTAATTCTAGGGAAGCGAATAATTTATGACATTACTTGTTTCGCATAATTCCATGCTCGACATCCAGTTCTATGCACTTTACCATCTATTTAACTACCCTAGGAGACCTGATAGAATTCTGAAAAAACCTTAACTTGCTGGAAATCATACAGTGCAAACAATGATTTATACTGGCTGTAAAATACTTACATACTGATAAGATCTTTCGCTGTTTCCGGCCGGGCATCCATTTCCACCTGCACGAAGTATGAAGTGAGGAAAATGTGTGTTTAGTGACTTTCTCAATGTCGCAACGTCAGACCGAGCTGAGCCTCGAACCCCCGAACCGGCAATCTCACGACAAGTCCAGTTACTTTAACTACTGGCAAAAGCAAACTGCAGTTATTATTATTTTTATCTTTTTATAATTAGGCCTATTATCACTTTTTCCTTATTATTATTATTATTATTATTATTATTATTATTATTATTATTATTATTATTATTATTTTGTTAAAATCTCTTCTATTTATTTAAATAACCTTGCTTTGCATTTTGTTTTGGTAAGGGTTTTACGCCGCATACAACTACTTTAAGTCATATCACCGCGCCCTATTTACCTAATACGCATTTCATTCTGCAATATCAAACTAAGACATAAAGCATAGGCCATTATCATTTAAATGGACTCTTTAAAAAAAGTCGATTTGACCCTGATTACTAAGTTTTCATTCAAACGTCAGTATTATACTGTGCGCCTTACTGTGCTGCCAGCTGCTGCCACCGTTTCACAGCCTTAGTCTTTGCAGTTTGCCATTTAACCCTTTTGGCGTAGACTGCATCATTCTGAAATAATGTGGAGGGACATATTATATTATTATGGAATTTCTTTTTTGTCCACATCATTCATGCTGTTTAATGAATGTTTGGCTCAGAAAACAATTAGGATTAAAAATTGGTATTCTTGTTTATGTATGGAGATTCTGTTTATTTTCTGTAGTAACCTTTCTTAGTGACTGCAAAGCAATTAGTGAGTGACTGGATGTGAAGAAGAGGAAACAATCGAGGGAGGAAAGTGGAAAGAGAGAGAGAGAGAGAGAGAGAGAGAGAGAGAGAGAGAGAGAGAGAGAGAGAGAGAGAGAGAGAGAGAGAGGGAGGGAGAGAGAGAGGGGGGGGGGTGGGGGGGGCACAAAGAACAAAAGAGAGAGAGAGAGAGAGAGAGAGAGAGAGAGAGAGAGAAAGAGAGAGGGAGAGAGAGTGAGAGAGAGAGAGAGAGAAAGAGAGTGAGAGAGAGAGAAAGAGAGAATGAGAAGGTACTGTTTGTGTGTGTGTTATGTGTTTGTTTATGTGAGTGTGTTTTTGTATTTGTATTATGTATGTATGTGTGTGTTTATTAATTTATATGTGTAAGTATTTGTGTGTGTATGTGTGTGTGTGTGGCTGTGTGTCTGTGTGTCTGTTCGTGTGTGTTTGTGTGCCCATGAATAAACGTGTAAATGTACTGAGTACATTCTTTACTGTTTTATATATATGATATATCAGGAGGAGTTACATTTTGTGAGATTATTGCAGTTTGTCGTTCGACTCTCTCCGCAGCCCAGAATTTAATTAATGCCAATCATAAACACACAGCTTGAAGCCGTTAATAACGGAAATAACAGAAAAAAGTACTTACTCATTCGACCCTCATCCTGCTCTTTTAACACTCCATTCTTCATAGTAAACATCATTTTTTTAAAATTGAGCTTACTATCCTGTTGATTATGCGAGATGGTACTCGTTTAAAAAGTAGGTGCTGGCTTCTTTATGTTTTGTAAAAACTTGTAGTAGAAGATTCCAACTGCTTGTTTTACATGTGAAGTACCCTTTTCTCAGTTGGAATCAGTCACCCGTGTGAGCTTCTTAAATTTGGTATGTTGGAAAGGGGGGGGGGGGGGTGAACTCTCCTTGATGATGATAATCAATTTCTAATAACCCCATATATAATAATATCATAAAAAACTCTTCTGCACAATATACAAAATTTTTTCCCTCGCACTATGCAACAATGATGATGATTATGATGATGATGATGATGATGATGATGATGATGATGATGATGATGATGATGATGATGATGATGATGATGATGATGATGATGATGATGATGGTGATGATGGTGATGGTGATAATAATGATGACGACCACGGTGACGACGATGATGATGATATAAAAAATACATAAGGTAACTTTAAACTACAAGCAGTAAAGAAATGATGATATTACATTACTTGTCGCAAGGTACTCAACATCCGTAACTCAAACAAGAGTGGCAATAATGCGTGTGGGGTTGAAATAGATCTTTCTCGAATCACTCTAGACAAAATGCTGTTCGTGCAATTTGCAAAATTAACGCTGGTTTGTTTTGAAGCCACGAATAATGTGTATACGTGTAAGTTTTTACGAAATGTATGACGACCTAGTTGAAGACACTAAGTGTTTTTGCTTGAGAATAGGAAGCAAGGTGATGAGATGCAGAAGAAAAAATAAGACAAAACACTGCTAAAAATAATGAAATGGTAAGCCCTATAGTTTTAACGGCCCCTATCAACACTATTAGGTTATTTAAAAGGCAGGACCTCCGTGTTTAACGTCCATCTCCGAAAGGACCGAGCCAAAAGGGAAATTCGTGTAAAGTGTCTATCCCACGGACAAAAGGTCGGACTGAACTGAGGGTGGACGTCCCGAATCCGCAATCTCACTATTACGCGTCTGGTAGCCTAACCACTAGGCCACCGACGCCACATAATAAAATAATAATGATAATAATAATAATACTAATAATAATAATAATAATAAAAATAATGATAATAATAATAATAATAATAATAATAATAATAATAATAATAATAATAATAATAATAATAATAATAATAATAATAATAGAAAAAGAAGAAGAAGAAGAGGAGGAGGGAGAGGAAGAAGAAGAAGAAAACGAAGAAGAAGAAGAAGAGGGGGAGGAGGGAGAGGAAGAAAAAGAAGAAGAAGAAGAAGAAGAAGAAGAAGAAGAAGAAGAAGAAGAAGAAGAAGAAGAAGAAGAAGAAGAAGGAGAAGAAGAAGAAGAAGAAGAAGAAGAAGAAGAAGAAGAAGAAGAAGAAGAAGAAGAAGAAGAAGAAGAAGAAGAAGAAGAAGAAGAAGAAGAAGAAGAAGAAGAAAAGGAGGAGGAGGAGGGAGAGGAAGAAGAAGAAGAAGAAGAAGAAGAAGAAGAAGAAGAAGAAGAAGAAGAAGAAGAAGAAGAAGAAGAAGAAGAAGAAGAAGAAGAAGAAGAAGAAGAAGAAGAAGAAGAAGAAGAAGAAAAAGAAGAAGAAGAAGAAGAAGAAGAAGAAGAAGAAGAAGAAGAAGAAGAAGAAGAAGAAGAAGAAGAAGAAGAAGAAGAAGATTGGGCTCTCGTCAAAAAAGTAACACCAAAGAAACTGCTATTTTTCCCAGCATTGGGCTACTTTCGTTTCAAATGGGTTTTCTTTTTGGCTTTTTGGCTCAACAACTTTTATGTCCATTCAAATACACATATTTTCTGTGTGGATGTTTACAGAAAAACATTGATCGAAAGAACAGAGAATGTAAATTTCCGGTTTTCAAAGACAAGGACGCTTAAACTTTGGAAGTCAACTTTGGTGGCCATTATTTTTGCTAATTTTACCTTTGGCACCAGTCGAATCCCATGTCCTTCAAGCTTCGGCCAAATACAAGACAAATGAGCAAGCTTTACTAAGATGGTGCTTATAACTTTATATTATGCCTCGAAATTGATGAACGCCTGATTCCACCGCATTGAAACACAAATGTCAACACACACTCGCAAAACACATTGTGTCATTCTTTCTATTTTCTCACTCATTAATTTCATTTCTATTTTATTTATTCCTTATTTAATTGTATTTATATAAATATATGTTTTACTTTGTCCACAGATCGAGGCAACCTTTTCGAACACAGAGACGTTTATTCTTTGTTTCGGTGGGCACCAACATGAGAGCTCATATCACACCGAGATAACCCCATCTTAGTAAGGACCAGCAACATCTCCTCTACGTACAGACTGGACGTGAGATCATTTTTTGGACACCCCTTATTAACGATCTAGTCACTTTTATGTTACAGTTCGCTATCGGAAGCGGCAACGAACTCTTGACCTACGCCATAATGAGCGAGAGACGTTACATGAATGACTTAGACGAAGCAGGAGAAAAATGCTTCGGCCAGACGGAATACGGCAGTAATTTTGTTCGACATAACAAAGACGCCTATTGGTCATTCGTGGACAATTCAGACGTATCATTTAGGAGAAAGAAGAGCGGATACGACACGGATAATATCGGTGTTCTGAAATCTTTACGAGCAAAACGACCCGACACGAGAAACGGCGGGATTATGAATGCTAGAAGTCACAGCAGTCTCGCAAGTGTTTGCTCCGTTAGTAATGGCGTTGGCGGAAGGAGCGGATATGGTGGCTCGCTGAGACGAAAACGAGGCGATGTTTCCCGGATGTCGTCTGTCGACATCAGCAGTGTCAGCAGAAATAAAACATTTCAGGAGACAGGAGGAAGAAACCGAGCCTCCAGCATGACTTCGTCGTTAAGTGACGTCACGTCCGTCAGCTCCATTTCGTCTGGTGGATTCTCCACAGCGCGGGAAAACACGACGAGTCGTCTGCGACAGGAGCTACACCGCGGAAGTCCAGTGGAGGCCAACGGGACTTATCAAACTCCATTACAGAGGAAAGAGAAGGAGCTGAAAGAGCTGAGGAATGAGGTAACTTTATTTATATAATATATGTGAGGCAGCGTGGTGGAATCAGGGTCTCGTCAATTTTTGGGCACGTAGAGTTATTGGTATCATCTTAAAGCTTGCTCACTTGTCTTTATTTGGGTGAAAAAAATATCCATTTATCTTGAATACAAGTAGATATATTTCAAATGAAGGAGGTGTGCTCACCTATTTTCAGAGGTAAAATAAGTGAGAAAATGGCCGCCATAGATTAGTTATTTCCTTATCTTAAGAGTCCGTGGTAACTGAAAATTTACATTTTTTGTGCCTTTAATCAATGTTTTTTAAAAAGAAAAATCCACATAGAAATGAGTTCTTTAATGGGCATGAAAGGTGTTGAGCCAAAAACAAAAATTTGATAAAAATTCACAAACCTTTGGAAAAATGTAAGTTTCTTCACTCTGATTATTTTGACGAGAGCCTGATTCCACCACGTTGCCTCACATATTGATTCTTAATGTTCTACGCCACTTCCGACACAAGTGGGATCGTGTAAGAGACAGACTGTTAAGATCTTTCTTGTCAGAACCAATACGGGCTAGGTGGTATATTTATAGATTCCGACAGTTCGAGAAACCGAATAAGTTTATTCTCCCACTTTGAAATCGAACTCATGTCTTGTGAAAGCAATAACGATGTATCGAACTACATCACAGACACTTCGCTGCCTTAGATTTACGATGATCTATCTGACATTTTTGTCCGTTTTGGGTCACATAATTAGACCATTAGGTTAGACACCAAATGTTACATAATGTGCTCTATCAAAATCGTCAAACTATTCGAAGTCGTCATCAAGATAGTCAAAACATTGTATTCGAAAAAGCCCAATATGCCGTGGAACTCAAAAAAATTTACATCAAATTTCTCAAAACTAGGAACGGATCAGATAGAGCTTTGTACTTCCGAGGTAAGGAATTGTTATTTTGGTGAAATCACATAACAATTCTTAGATCTTTGGATAGCAAGTTCAAAGGTTCGTGGCATGTATCCTTGGGAAAAGTACTTTGCACAAATTTATTCATTTTGGTTCTTAAAGGAGATTGACTTAAGAATTCAGATCCCGCCTCTTATTAAAAAAATACCCTACGGTGTTGCAGGGAGCGTTAAACATTGTGTGCAATTTGGCTTTTTTTTCCGAATGCCAATACTGCATCTTTTTAATGCATTATATGTTTTTACTCATCATGTGTTTTAAATGCATCGTGTGATTTTACTCATTTTAATGCAGCTCCATGCTTTAGTCTAGTCCATAATCTTTGTCACACATTTCTACAGTAGTTAGTAGTTAGTACATATACGTCACTGTCATTTGGTGGGCAGGTAAGAAGAGAAGTTGAGGAATTTAAAATGCTCTTCTCCCATAATTTTCCTCAATTCTGTTCTTGTTCTTGTTTTGTTGTCGCCATTTATATTTTTCATTAGATGGATTTATCAGTGCCATTTAAGAGCAGTTGTCCACATATTATTTATTATCTCATAATATTACGTGGCTGAAAAACTTGGGCGTTGCCAGTCAGTTTCAAAACACATGGTTCACCTCTTTTTAATGTTGAATCACCCTCATCAAAAACAATTTAATACTTTGGACGAATTCCATGAATTGAATATTCAAATAATTCTTATATAGTTTTGTCCCGTCAGATTTCGTCTGTGTCATTTTGCATCGTATAACTGTCACTGTCAGTGTGATCATATACTATCTTTAGGTAAACACGCACACATACACGTGGGTGCGTTTGTGTGTTTGTGTATGTGTGTGTATGTGTGTATGTGTGTGTGTGTGTGT